TGTCCAAGAGGTCTTAAGGTTCCAAGGCACGGCTCAAGCCCAATTTTGTGACCAAAAACGTGAACAAGAAGTGGGAACAAGTTTCATTGGCCTAAGCCCAAGTTTTGGGTGTCATTTGATTCAAATTTTGGAGGAAAATCCCTAAAATTGTTGTTAAGGACATAGGTCCTTAAATTAGGGAAAAGTTGTCCACTTGATCATTAAATGGTTATGGCTTGTTTTTGACTTGTGTGGTGGAGACTTTTTGTTTATTAATTTGAATGTAATATTTTAATGTTTCCATCATGTAATATTTGCTAGGGTAAATCCCTAATTTTTGTAAAGCCTATTTAAAGGCCACTTGATCATTTTTGTAAATAGATTTGAATATTGAAGTGAATAGTACTTTGTCTTGAGAATTGTTTTCTCTTGTTTCCTTTACCCAAGTTCGGCCAAACTTGGTGGTAGAGTGTCTATCAAGCTGGTGGAGTTTCCTTTAGGCTTGATTAATTCCTTGGTCATCTCTTATGTAAGTTGTTTTTCCTTTAGCTTCAAGTTAACTCATTTTCCGGATTTTGTTTTGCATGGTGTGTATGAATCCGTTTGTGGTGCATTTGAGCATAAATGACTTTGTGATTGACTGGAGTTTGATATAAGGAGTTGTTTTAAGTTGTTTAATGGTTGTGAGTGTGTATGGAGTGTGTTAGCCGAATGGTCATAAGGAGTTGGAAGAAAACCTAGCCTAGGTTGAGTCAAAAGTGGTTGTTTTGGGGTAGTATATGAATTGAGGTTGAAGAAATTCATATCACATTTTAAATGGAGTGAAAAAAGGAATCATGGTAGATTTTTAATAAAATATTTATGTATTTATTCTACAATTACTCTTGTTTCATTCGAACATTGACATCAACTTTTTTTCTGTTTTAAATTTCAAATACAGAAGGAACCATTGGACAACTTCCGGAAGTCTGAGTTTTGTGCTGTTTTGATGATAATTTTGATGTATTTTGATGGACATTTGTGTGTGTGTGTGTGTGTTTTTATTTTTTGGGGTCTTGGATTGTATAATTTGTTGTGTATACATTATTTATGTTGATTTAAATGTGATTTATATTGATTTAGATGCAAATTTACCAAAAATTGGATCTGATTTGTGTAAAATAAGATCTGCATGTTATATTAAAAAAGGGCCAAATGAGCTGTAATTGAGCCATAATCGAGCCACTTCGAGCTTGCGTTAATCGAGTCATAGTCAAGCTTTTCGAGACGAGTCAAATGAGCTCGATTCGAGTCAAACAAGCTCAAGTCGAGTCCTGAGCTGACTTGTTTATAAACGAGGCAAGTCACGAGTCAAATTTTCTTGACTTGGCTGACTCGTGACTTGACTCAAACTCATCTAATGCTTAACTGAGTCAAGCTCATTCAGGGTGATACTCGGCTCGTTTACACCTCTACTTGCCATAGTTTTACTAAAATGTTGATTTGTTTTTATCTCTTGCATCAACTCAAGCAATTTGATCTCAAAAACTCAGCAAACTGCAATTACTCTACTTGCTTGATCACATCGTCCAATAGAATTCTATAGATATTGTATTTATGGTCACTTGGGATTACATGTGAACGTTGGAAAAATATCTTGATATCCAAAACATCTGCAAATTGCCATTGCATCTTGAGAATTATGAACACGGTTTTGGTGATTGCCAATATGAGATGAAGGGAGCAATGTAGATTTCCCTAGATGTTGTGCATTAACATCACCTTTTGAAATAGCATCCATCAATCCACTATACAAATCACTCCTTAATTTTTGCTGATTGTTTCTAATCCAACGAAATCTTTTCTCTTCAATAGCCAACTTTGCATCTACAATATATTGTTGTAATAATCTACCATATTTAATCAAAGTATGCCCTTCATACAATTTGTATTGCAATCGAAATGCATAATATTCTCTCATGCTTGTTGAGTGTTGAAAATGCGGATTTATTTTGTAATTTAGGGGTGAAATTGTAAGAAATTCAATTTTTAATGCGTTATTTAGGATGAGTTTTCTTACTTGTTTTGTTATCTCCTAGAATCAAGGGTTTTTTTTTTTTTTTTTTTTTTCTGTTTTCAGGTATTTAGGTGCAAAAAGATGAATTATTCGTGCTTGTGTCGGTGTTCAAACATCTTGGAACCGTCGAGTGTGGATAAATCAAGGCAAGTGAAAAAAAAGTGAAAGTCCAAATTTGTGCCACATTGCACTTTTCTGAGCCACGGCGTGAAGACAACGAAACAGAAATTGAGCAATTGCACAATTTTATGTGCCATAACGCAAATCGCAATATTTGGAAAAACTTCGCATTTTCAACCCTAATTTGGGTGACCATTATTTACAATTATGACATTTTGCCTAAAAACTATATAAAGGCAACTTCACTCCGTTTTTCAGATATATTAGGTTTTAGAGAACACTTTTCAACTTTGGAGGCTTGGGAGAGAGTGATTGATTGTGTAAGGCAAATCCTTGATCATCTTGAGTGGATTTTGCATCAAAATGTGTAAGTGTAAGATCAAGGTTTGTTTTATTGTATTTATGAGTAGCTAAACTCTTTCCTAGTGTATCCAATGTAATTTAATTAGACTACTTTATGTTTATTGTTTAATCAAATGTTTAATTGATCTAATGGTATCTTAGTTTCGTTCATTTATGTTTATTGAGTTGATTAATCATTATTATTGCATGATTGCCTTTGATTTATGGTTGAATGGTTGTATGAGTCAAGGTTAGGCTACACACCACTAGCTAATCTTGAATATCTCTTGATCTTTGATCGTAGTTGATGTTTGATCGTGTTTAATAGTTGATTGATTGACTATATGAGTTGGGGTTAGGTTACACGCCACTAGCTAATCTCCGATTGCTATGATGAATGATTGATTTATGTCTGTGTGATGCCCTCAGCAGATGTGAGTTGGTTTGAGTTCTTTTTGATACTTTTATGCGTAATGGGTTTTTGTGAATTAGACTAGGCTACACGCCACTACCAAGTTTGGATTATGAAAACACTAGGTTGATCCGGTTGCCCACAGCATGACCTTACCTTGGTAAGTATCGACCCTAAGATTTGGATCGATAAACATCGGTTAGATTAATAACATAAAGTAGAATAATTATGGTGAAATTGGATACACTAGACCCTTTCTCATTGTTAATCACTTGTTTAGATATCGTTTTTACCTTCGTTGTCATTTTAGTATTTCTATTATTTTTATTTGACTTTAGTTAATTAGATTTTATTGAATTGTTGGATATTTTTATTATCTCACCTGATTTCACTATTCTAGTTGTTTTTACATAGTATTAGATTAATTGATAGCTCAAGTCTCTATAAGATCGACCCTTACTTGTGCACTGTACTGCAATAGCGACCCGTGCACTTGCGGAGGAATTAAAGTTGTTTTTAACCAAACAAGTTTTTGGCACCATTGCCGGGGAGTTAGAGTTATTTGATTTCTTTAATATTTGTGATTTTATTTTTGTAGTTAGATTTTATTTTATTTTATTTTAGTTGATTTGTGTATTTTTGTGTTACACTTTTTCCTTGTTTTGAGTTCTTTTAAATGATTGTTGGGCGAAGAAGTGCTTCCTTATTTTGACAGGGTGAATTTGATCAGTAGACGAGAAGAGAGCCTGAAGTTTAGAAGAATCAAGTGCATCAAATTTAGAATCAGAAGAAGAGATGGCGAATCCACCTCGCCTGATGAAGGAGTATGCGTATCCTACCATTGGAATGACGCCCTCCTGCATTGTTTTGAGTGCTGTGCGAGGAATTATGAGTTGAAGAGTATCCATTTTCAGATGCTTCCTTCATTCCATGCGATGGCCACTGAAGATCCATTGATATTTATTAGAGATTTTTACTCAACCGTGCAAACTTTTCCCTTGTAGGGTTTGACTAAAGATCAATTGAGGATGAGATGCTTTCCATATACATTGAAGGACATATCGAAGAGTTGGTTCATGTCATTGGCACCAGCTTCACTTACCACTTGGGATGCGGTCTACAAAAAATTCATACGTAAATTTTATTTTCATGCGAAGACTGCAAAAGTAAGAGGTAAAATTGCTACTTTCTCTTAACTTGATGGTAAGCCATTCCATGAGGCTTGGGAAAGATTTAAATTGATTTTAGTTCAATGTCCACATCATAAATACCCTTTAGAATTGTTGAATTAGTTTTTCTATGATGGACTAACACAGGCTTGCCAAGCCATAGTTGATAATGCTGCAAGTGGTGCCATGGGAGAAAAGACTGTAAAGGAGACATACGAGTTGTATGAGATGCTTGGTGCCAACTCATAACAGAAAAGTGTTAGAGGGAAAACAAAGGGAGTTTACAAAGTAAGTGCTAACACCGAGTTGGCGTAGCAAGTGTCCGAATTGACGAACCAAGTCAAGACTATGTGCAACATGATGATGGGGCAAGGACAGAGTAGTTCCAATGAGGTATGTGCTATTTGTGGTAATGTTAGCCATACTACTAATGTTTGTCCTTCAGGTGTGTGTTTTCCAGAATTTGTGGAGCAAGCGAATATGATAAACTCTTACAACCAAAGACCCCACAATCCATATTCAAACACATACAATCATGGGTGGCGGAACCATCCAAACTTTTCATGGAGAAATAACCAGCCGTAAGGAAGTTCTGAACACATCATGCAACCAAAGAAGCCATCATTGGAGGAGACATTGAATAGTTTCATTCAAGCTTCTCAACAAACAAATCAGAGCTTCGAACAGAGATTCCAACAACAAGATGTAGCCATAAAGGAAGATGGAAGTCTAGATAGGCCAAATTGCAGAATCATTACAAGGCCATGTTCATGGGAAGTTACCAAGCCAACCCGAGCAAGCAAAAGCAGTCACAGTTTTGAGGAGTGGTAAGGCAATTAACAAAGACATCAATTTTGAAACTAATGAGCCCTTTTCAGATTTTGTAGGTAAAAAGAAAGAGGGGAAATAGCCAAGTGCACCTATGCAGAGTGAGGAGATTGAAGATCAACATGTGCCACCAAAGCCTTATGTTCCACTCGTGCCTTTTACAAGATGCTTGATTAAAAGCAAATGGAATAAGTCATTTTCTGAAATATATGACATTTTATCTAAGGTTAATGTGAACTTACCCTTGCTTGATATGATCAGGAACATGTCAGCTTACGCGAAATTCTTCAAGGAGTTGAACACCCGTAAGCATAAGTATGAGCGACACGAGAAAGTGATGATTTTAGAGACGGCGAGTGCGGTGCTCCAATGCAAGTTACCACCCAAGCTGAAAGATCTGGGGAGCTTTGTTATCAACATCACTATTGGTAAAAAGAAAGAAGAAAAAGCGATGTTGGACTTAGGTGCAAGTATCAACCTCATGCCATATTCCATCTATCAACGGTTGGGACTGGGAGAACTAAAACCTACAACAATGACCTTGCAATTGGTAGATAGATCATTGAAATATCCAAGAGGTATTTTTGAAGATATTTTAGTTCAAGTTGACAAACTAATTGTTCCTGTTGATGTTGTGGGGTTAGATATGAAGCAGACTTCAGACCATAGTAGTGAGTTGCCTATTTTGCTAGGACGTCCCTTCATGGTCACAAGGACCATTATCGATGTGAAAAATGGAAAGCTAAACATGACGGTTCTTAATCAAACCATTGAATTTTTAGTTTTCAATTCTATGTCTTTACCTTTAGTTACTAATAATTGTTTTGCAGTTGATTCTTTAGATCATATCATTGTGTCTAGTTTTCTACAGGGGGAGACTAAAGATAAACTTGCAATAACTCTTTCTAGCTAGTGTACTTTGAAAAATATAATATGAATTCACTAAACATGTTATGAAAACATATAAGTGTATAAGTAGAAGGTAGTGGGCCTAAAAAAATTTCTTTACTATTATATATTAAATTCTTTACAACAACTAAAGTATCATATACATAATCTCATAATATGGTGGACAGTAGTGCCATTCCCCTTTGCTTCTCAACGTTCCATCTGACCGCTTCTCACCTATTTCCTACAAAAACATTTGAAAACAATGGGGTGAGCACTAGTTGCTCAGTAAGTAAATCCGCTAGGCTATTCTTCTATCTCTGTTGTTCATATTATGAATTTCTTTCCTTACATCACACTTTTCTATTCTTCTCGGTTCTTTCTCTATTTCTAGTTCTCTCTATTCTTTCTTTATTTCTAATTTCTCACTACTCATGATAGTAGGCATGGTATCATGCACAAGTATGATGCACATGCACAAATGCATAGGATGTGCATTTTATTTTCTGTTTTTATGCTTCTTATTCTATTTTTCTTTCTTTTATGTGTTTCTTTCTTTCTCTGTTTTTCTTCTTTCATTCATTCTATTCTTTCTTTTCTTTTCTTTTCTTTCTTATTCTCTTATTCTCTTTTTATTATTTTCTTTCTTTCTTATTCTTTGCTGATCGGACTCGGTTGAGGCATGGATTCGAAACCCTGGCCGTGTGAGTGAGTGAGTGAGTACATTTCTCATCTACATGCACTTCTTACGGACAGTATAAATTCTTCTTCTTCTTAGGCCGCTCACTAAAGGCAACGTGCATGTAGGTATATTCTTCTGGGTACAGTCCTCATCTACATGCACTATTACGGACTGTCCAAATTCTCTTCTTATTCTTAGGCCGCTCACTGAAGACGGTGTGCATGTGGGGATATTCTTCTTCTTACCACTCACGGGTTCTCCATCGCAACAATATTCTTTTCTCTTATCTTTCTTTTAGAAATTAGTATTCAATTTCTTTTCTTTTCCTTAGTACTTTTATTTCTTTCTCTTTATTCTTTAGTGTGCTTATATGCATGTATGCATGTAGATGGACTTTCTTATTGTTCTTTCTCAATTCAAATCATTAAATGCAAGAATGCAATATGGCATGTAAACATGTCATTCTCTACTTTCTCTACCATCTACAAACTCATATCAAAATAATAAATCAACATACTCATACATGCACTTCTCTATGAAATTTCATCAAACACTTTGTATGCACAAATAAAGCACTAAGGTGATTACACTCTACCATCTACAAACTCATATCAAAATAATAACTCAACAAACTCATACATGCACTTCTCTATGAAATTTCATCAAACACTTTGTATGCACAAATAAAGCACTATGGTGATTACACTTCCATAACAATCTCTAACCACCAAAATTTTGGAGCAAAGCTCCCTAAAGCAACTTCAAACCTGGCTAGGAAAATACACTCCATAACTCTACTCAAATTCTTTCTTAACTCATTCAAACTTCCATCAATTTCTATGCACACAATCATCACTACTCATGGTGGAATTCTAACCATGAATCATCATCAATTCCATCAAAAAATCTCAACACTTAACCATAGCAAATACATATAAGAAAATTCTCTACTCAAGTATTGCTCAAATCAAGAGCTAGGGTCGGATTTACTTACCTTGAACTTGGGTAGTTCCACACTAGAATCTCTCTCTTTGGTAGACTTCCTCCTCTTCTTAAACCCTAAGCATATAAACTATAAGAATTCAACACTTTAGAAATTAATCTCACATCTTATTGCAAGAATTCTTACCTTTGGATGCTTAAGATTGAATATCTACCAAAATCCAACAAAAAATCCTCTAAATTGCCTTCGAAATTTGATGAAGAAATTGAGAGAATTTGGGGATGAAAGTGGCGTTTGAGAGGTAGAGAATGGTAGGGTTTTCATTCTTGTACCCTTAATATCTCATTTATTACTTATACTTTCCCATTTTGACCTTGCACTTTCTATGAAATTCTATCTTTGCTCTTTAGTCAATTACAAAAATACCATCATTTCCATTGCATTCTTTATGAAATTCTACTTTCACTCCCCACATTTTCAACTAATTGTGGGTGGAATGACCATTTTGCCCTTAATGAAAAAAATCTAGAATTTTCTCAAAATTGCCAACAAGTTATTTGCCCCGGCGAAACTTTTTCTTCACCTCGGCAAGACATTCTAGAGCATACATTGTTGTGGCGAACTTCTTTCCTTGCCGCGGCGAAGACTGCAATTCTAAGAACTCAATTCGAGCAGTATGTACAATGCCATGGTGGCAAAACTCCTTTGTCGTGGCAAAGTCTGCAAATCCTAATTTTTCAATCTTTTACCTTGAAATAAATAAACCTAAGGGCATTAAAGCATAAATAAGTTACGTACCTCAATATGGGCATTACAAAACTAGAGTTGGCCTTGACAATAGAGGATGGTGAGTTAAGTGATGATAAGGTTAGGGAGTATATGGAAGAGTTGGATAGTGAGATTAGGGACATGTCTGATAAGGAATTAAGGATGGTGATTGAACATGTTGATGTCAAGTTAGTTTCTTCCGTTGAATCCCTGCCTAAACTTGAGTTAAAACCTTTACCACCTACCCTTAAGTATGCTTACTTAGGAAAAGATCAAACCCTCCCTGTAATTATAGCTTCAGACCCAACCGTAGAGGAGGAGGAGAAATTGCTTAAGGTGTTGAGTGATCATAAGGCAACCATAGGTTGGACAATAGTAGACATCAAGGGAATTAGCCCTACTATGTGCATGCATAAAGTGTTGTTGGAGGAAGATGCTAAACCAACTAGGGAAGCTCAAATGAGGTTGAATCTGCATTTGCAAGAGGTGTTGAGAGTTGAGGTATTAAAATTACTTGACACTGGGATCATTTATCCTATTTCAGACAGCAAGCAAGTGAGTCCAGTACATGTAGTACCAAAGAAGTCAGGCATTACTGTGGTAAGAAATTCTGATGATGAGTTAGTGTCGACTAAGATGATGACATGATGACGGGTTTGCATTGATTACAGGAAGTTGAATGCTGCAACTAAAAATGATCATTTTCCTCTTCCTTTTATTGATCAAATGTTAGAAAGATTAGATGGCTATTCTTATTATTATTTCCTTGATGCAGATTCTGGATTGATTTTGGGTTGGATCGATTTGGGCAATTTTTATTTTGGGGCAAATCAATCTCAATCCAAGGTTTTGATCACTGATTTAGATTGGGCAAGCATCCTAGACTGCTTATTTGTGATTTTAATTGCATATTTGGCTTTGGATTGTTGAGTTGAGTTGATTGAGTGCTTTGGGTATTGATTGAGCAAGATTTTGAGTGGATTTTGAGTTGATTTGTATTGTGCTGTGATTGGGTGTTGTGTGATTGCCATCTAATTGGGCATTGGGAGAGATTGTTGGTGGAGTTGTGTTATTGTGTGATTTTTAAAGTGTTGGTACTCAGATTGACTGTTATGGCATCGCAAAAGAGGGGTAGAGATGCGGCTAGCTCTAGTAGAGGTCTTGGAGGTTCCTCACAGGACACCCATGATCCTAGATTTATGAGTTCATATGCTGAGGATAGGTATAAGGAGAACGCCGTTAATGGTAGAGGATTCATGGATGAACGAGGGTTTGATTTTAAGAATCTTTATGAAGGCATTACTAACATTATCAGTGATTTGAGTTGGGAGCTTTATAGCCCAACCGGGAGTAGCTGTTAAGCCTCTTGTGATGGAGTTTTATGCTAATGCCTTCAACCATAGAAATAGAAGAATTAGGATTAGAGGGCAAGAGGTGAGATTTGATGTCGAGAGGATTAATGAGGTTCATGGGTTACCGACTATTTCTAAGGAGGAGGATAATTTTTCTAGATTCCGTAGGGACCCAAATTATGATGAGGTGCTATAGAGTTTGATAGAGGGTCGAGGAGAGTGGATTCTTGGTCGGAACAATAAAAGAAAGGGTTTTGTTGTGACTTCACTCATACTCACTCATAAGGTATGAGAGCATTTTGTATGCACCAAGATCTATCCTTCAGGGCACCTTAGCACAGTAGACACTGAGAAGGCTCTCATGATGTATGCCATATCTCAACGGATGTAGATCAACATATGGGAGACTATTCATTCAAAGATTTTGCATGCATCCAGATCTTCTAAATCCTATCTGTATCCCAACCTCATCACTGCCTTATGTGTATCTGCAAGAGTTGTTATTGGGGATGATGAAGTGAAGAAACCACCACTTCCACCATTGACATTGAAGTATCTCTAGAAGATTACTAGTGGGGGTAAAGGAGCTTTAGCCCAAGCACAAGCACAGTCGCGCAGATAGAGAGCCCCTTGCTCATCGACATCTTCTACCCAATCTATATAGGGTCAGATAGCCAACTTGAGAGCAAAGATGAGAGAGTGGCAGACATGGGCCATAGGACAGATGACGTATCAGGTTGAGTGTTTACAAACGCTTCAGTGGATCCAACAATTTCAGTTATCTTAGTCAGGAGTGGATCCGAGACAGTTTGTATTTCCTGTCTACCCAGCGGGTTTTCAGCCAAGGGCACCCGTTGGTGATATGGACATGGCTGGAGATGATGATGATGATGATGATGATGATGATGATAATGATGGTGGTGGTGGTGGTGGTGACCAGTAATGAGAGCCTAGATGGATTTGCTGATAGATTTCATGTTTTTCATTTTCTTTTATGTACTCTCGTTTTTAGTTTATTTGTGTGTGATTTTACTTTTCAGTTGTAAAACTCTAGTTCCTTTATTATGGTTTCGATGTTCTTTTCATTTCTATTTTATTTTTATTTCCATAAATATTATGCGGATTAACAGACAACATGGATTCTATCCAAGACACCATGTGTCATTTTCTTTTGTGTTGGTGGATTTCATGTTGATTACAGGGTATGCATTCAGTGGTATTACTTCTGGACTTTACGATTTGTTACTCAAAAGGGGGGTAACTCGTTTCCTTCCTTTTTA